GATATTTTGAATAGCTTAAGATTTAATTTTAATATTACTCTTTCTCTCTTTATAATTAAGTTTCATTCCTTTTTTTTAATATATTAAATCATGGATATTTTTGGAAGTATATATTTTTGTTTTGAAAATATAAGGTTGTTAGATATATTTACTAAGGTTTATTAGTATGTGAGATTTTATCTAAAAGTATCTTATAATTTAGAACGGAGGAAGTATGAAATAATATTTGCAAGATCAAAAAAATAAATTAAAATTATATTTTGATAGGAAATAATTAAAATGTCCTTTATTTAAATAAAATAATCCCATTCCGCCGGAGTTCCATTGCCGATCTCGGACCCCCACCACCACTGCATCTCCGGGATTAACAAGTATTTTCAATTAACTTTCACATTATTTACAATCATGTGATGGATCTGAGCACTATTTGGAAGCTCCTAGTGAAAAACCAAAGCATTTTATATTAATAGTATACACCAACTTATGCTTTCTTTTAGTTTGTACAAGTATATATATTCCCACACAGAATTCTTCAACTATGAAAATCAAAATAGAAAGAAATTTAAATAAATTATATAATACTTTTATAAAAAAAATTAAAATGTTGTTTTCATCCTTTCTTTGGAGTTTGAGTTAAATCACATTACTTATGACTTAAAAAATGTAGTGTAATATATTTTATATTATCCTATAGATTATGGGTTTATGTAAATTTAGGATTGGTTACATTGCTTAGAACTTACGAAAAAATATGAATTTTTATAAATTTTATGAAATATTGACACTGATTATATACAAATATGATATTTTAGAGAATTTTTAATCACTGTAAGAATGAAAAATGGATAATATAAAGTACTAGCATAATGTGATATTATACTGATTACTGAAGCTAGTACTGCTTTGAAATCACAAGGCATGAGACAACCGTCGATTCACTTTTAAAGAGCATAAAAATGTCAATAAAAGGAAGGATTGTTCAGAAAAAGAATGACTATAAGAACACCTTGAAAAAACAAGAATAAAAAAACAATACAAGGAAAAGAAGGGCCTGTTTGATTTCTGTTTTATTTTTTTGTTTTCAAAAATTATTTTGTATAATTTTTAAAATTGTTTTTCAAAACAAAAACCACATGAAAATCTGTTTGGTTATATTAATTTATAAACAGTTTTAGAACTAAAAAATATATTGATAGTGATGATTATAGGTGGTTAATGATGGTGATTTATGATAAAAATTGATCAACATAATTATAATTTTTAATAATTAAATGTAGCATATTTTAAAAATAAAAAATAAAATGAAAACAACTTCAAGTTGTTTCTATTTTTTTTAAAACAAAAAAGTAAAAATAGTTTTACAAACAAGTAAATAGAAAATACTCAACCAAACAAGTTTTTAAATTTTTCTGTTTTCAAAAGCAAAAAATAATTTTTAAAAATAGAAAGCAAATAGGCTCAAAGAAAATGAGCAGCAGCATCACAACAGCAGATCATCATATATTACAACAAAAGCTTGATGAATCAAAAGGTTATTTTCTCCGGCATAACGATGATCAAATAGCATCTTTCACTGAGTACACTCAATTCATTAGCCAAACTTTATCAACTCATCCAATCCACATACCAATTTCACCTAATAAGACAAGGCTTGTTGTTATTGTTGTTCACTCAACTAGAATTCTCTGCATTCCTCCCCTAGCAAGTAGCAAATAGAATCTGGTTGGAGGAAAAGCTAACATCAATACTTGTAGTACACCCTCCAACCTCATCCAATTATTTGCATTCTAAGAATGTGATTGGAACAGTTTAATCTGCAGTAAAGTAAATCCCACATGGCCAAGAGTAAGATTGTAGTTAAGCAGAAGCAAAGGCGAATTAGGATCATAACTTTGAGAGATCAATAACCAAGTAAACATGTTTGGGTGGACAGTAACAACAAGAATAAGCCTATGGTAGTTGATTAAAATACACAAACATTGAGGACAACTAATTTATGTTTGGTCATGTAACTCAAATAACGTACACCGATCAGAAGGCTCAGACGGGGAATAAATAAAACGGCCATAACCTATAACAAATGAAGAAATGAATAAAAAGATTAACCCTTCTAGTTCAGTAGTTCAGGTTACTTTACTTCCCATCTAATTTGTTTGAGTCTCTAGATAACTTGATAAAATGTCTTGAAATTTTGCAACCCCCCTACCGCGGATATAAAACTCGCTCACACACACTTGCACAAATCTAAACAGAGGGAGAAAGAGTAGAGAGAAATCTAAACAGAGAGGGAGAGAGACGAAGAGATTGGAGATGGGAGCTGGGGGAAGCTATCAGAACATTCAATCAAGCATTTTCATTCATTAAGTCTCCATTTCAAGAGCAAAACCTAATCTATTTAAACTAAACTTCCTTACCTATCAAGGAAACCTTAATTACTCACTCTTATAAAACCAATGTTCAGATTTTCTTTTACAAAATATTGCGGGAGATTCTGCTATAATGAATGAAACGTTTGTTGGGATATGTTTTGTGAATAAAAATATTTTGTTGTTAATGAATAATATTTAGGTAGCATGACATTTAAGTTCCATACGATCATGTTATTTAAATAAAGTCTCAAAATTTTTTTAAAGTGTGCCATATATAGCATTTTGTTTCCAATTTTAAAATCAGAAAAACGTGTTAGAAATTCAATAATACAAAATTGCAAATTTATGAGATAAAATTGTAAATTTTTGAAAGTGTTCAAATAATGATATGTTACTTTTGAAATTTAATAATTGAGATTTTTTTTATTAAAATTCAAAAAGAGATTTAAAAACTCAAGACAACTAAATTGCAAATTTGTCTCCCAAATTTGATATTTTGTAACTTTATCTTTCAAATTTGCAATTTTATCATCTTGAATTTGCAATTAGATATCCCAATTTTAATTAGAAACACAAATCTTAATAAGTAAACTTGACAAATGACATCTTACTGTTTAAACACTTCAAGGAACTTGCAACATTGTCTTCCCAATTTGCAATTTTATTTCATTGAATTTGCAACTCATTTTTTCAATTTTAAGATTAGGAATAGATTGTATTATATGAAAATATTAGTTAAAGGTCTAAGGAACATACTTTACATTTTAAAATTTATTGGGACTTTAATTAAATAAAATGAAGACTTAAGTGTCATTACCCCTAATAATTATTAAACATTTATAATTGTTGTTTCATAACATTTTTATTCTACAAATACAAATGTGAAGCGTACTATTTTTTTCTTCTCAAAAATTAAATTTTTGTTTAATATTTTATTTTATCCTTGTTTATTAAATTGATTTCTAATGATTGGAGATAAAAAGTTTTAGTTAGATGGATACACGGGGACGGACCTACTTGTAACATAGCGGAGGCAATTTCCCCCACAAGCCCAAACAAAATATACATAATGATTCTAAATATTTTATTTAAATTTATTTAAAAATTTCATTTGCCCTGCCCCCTGAAAAAAAAAAGAAAAGAAAATTCATATGACCTCATTAAAAGCTTGACTAATTTTCTAAAAATTTTATTTGATCAAGGTCTTATTTATGTATTTTAACCTTAAATAGATAGAGTTTTAAAAAGAAGGGAGCAATAATTTAGAAAATAATTTTTTTTGATTGTTTAAATTAAAAATTTTACCACAATAAATGTATATTATGCAAAAGAGTTAAAATTTGTTAGAACAGAAAAGTTTAGATGAAACAGATTTTAAGGGATCATGAACTAAATCCTTATTAATTGAATTCACCTTTATTGATTAAAATTAAAGAGAGTTAAGTTTTATTTATTAAAATGAACAGCAGAATTTTAATAGATATATAATTTCTATGTTATTATAATTTTATATTTTATGTTTAGTTCTTTGATATCATTTAATTTTAATAAATTTTATATTTAAATAATTTAATAAAAAATTATAATTAATTTATTAATAATATTAATATTTATTTTATGAATAAATTTTGTCCCCACAAACTAATTTTTCTGGATACACGTCGCAACATCAATTCACCTAAAATGTACTGTTCTAAGTTTCGACATTAATATAACACTAGGCTGGCTAAAACGTGTGTAAGTTGTAACATTAAGTTTGGGATTGATTAAGTTACTAGGAAACTGGAAATGTATGCATGGATGGTAACAGCAAAAGAGAATAAAAAAATTAATTATGTGTAATATAAAATATAGAAAGAAACAAGTTTGGGATTGATTAAGTTACTAGGAAACTGGAAATGTATGCATGGATGGTAACAGCAAAAGAGAATAAAAAAATTAATTATGTGTAATATAAAATATAGAAAGAAACCATAATACTTCTGCTCGTTCATGTTGGACAACGGAAAAATAAGATTACGGAAAAAGGAAATCTACTTAAAAGGACCAAAATAGCACAAAGTCCTTTAATAAAAAATCATTCAATAGGTAATTTTCTTTCGTAGCTTTCTCTTGAACCAAAAACTCAAAGGTTGGTGGGCTTAGATTTGTACTAAAATTTCCTTGACCTGCTAAGATGTAATACTATTTTTTTTGTTTTTTGAGTAAATATAAGATGAGGCCTTTTAATTCATATCATCTAGGCGCTAGACCAAACGCATGGGTGCAATTAGCAACCTTTCTCTGGTCTCAATATTTGTTTGTCCCAATCATAGTCTCATCCCTTTCAGAATCCTCTATTCTTCAATAAATTATCTTTCTCTAAGCTTCCTATTATTTTTTAACTACAAGAATCAGAGTTCATAACAATGGACTAACTCATGGTTAATTATTATGAATAAAAAAAATTCTAAAATACTCCTCGCATTAATCTAGTTTAGATAATGAAGATGAATAATTTGGAGAAATATTAATTAATGATACAGATAAAAAAGATAACAACAAATTTATCAGCCCCGACATTCAAAATTGGAGGGAGCAGTTAATATCCACATTTATTGCTGGCCAATAACAAAAAAAAAAATACACTCCCTTTTTTTTTTTTAGTATAACAAGTTTAGTCCAGTTGATTTTTGAAAACTCACTAAAGTCAAGGTATTCATTACCAACTGGACTAACTTTTAATTTTGAAATACAAAAAGCCCAAAATCAACTCTTGAGACCGGCTCTAGCACTTTTAGCCCATAATGTATCTTTGCACCAAGCCAGTCTTATTTCGCCAGAAGAACAAAAAGAGTACCTCAATCAACATCAATATAAAGTGTTGTTAGTAATACAGGTTGGTCCAGTCAGCAATGATTTGACTCATAATTTACGAAATCATAGGATTAAATCTGACTGTTGATGTGTGAATCTTATTAGTAAGTGATCATGAACAGTTGTTGTGTGATCAATATAAAATATAAATTCCTCAATCCTTAATAAATGGGCCAGAAATCCCTTGTAAATTGTTAAATGTGCCTTTATTTGTGGGCAAAACAAATATAGAAAATGCAGGTAAGGCAATGCCTTGCCTTCTATAATCAATTAAAATAAATAGGAAACATGCTGCCAGACTAGAGCACTCAATCAAAGTGTATTTTTACCCTGCTCTTTCTTCTTTGATTATTAAGAGGCGGCATACCTGAATAAGAATAACTAGTCTGTAGAGTCTGCAGTATAGAGAGTTAGAAACATACACAAACTTTAAGATATTAAATCTTCAATCCACTGTTTTGCCACACTGATGTTCCTTCCTATGAAGTACTCTTTTCATTTAACTTTGAAATTTATCTTTCTCAATCCTTCACTCAAAAAATCTAACTTTGAAATCATTGAATACTCTACTACAAATCTAACAACTATGCGGAATGGAAGTTCCTGGTGAGAAACCAATGCAATCCTAGGATGTCAAATAGCATAACCTCCTACACTTTTATTCATCAGGCAACAGCATGATCATAATTGATTAAACCACTAACTGCAGAAAACCAAAGATAATATGTTTTCCATTCTGAAATGGGGTGAAGAGATCATCATTCACCAGCAGAATTGGAAACCGGCATTTGGGCACTCAAATTTCAAAAGTTAAGAAATGTTTCCTATATATATTTAGACTACCTAGCACTGAAGGTACCAGACTTCATGCTGCTCCAGGGAAACTTGGCAGCACCATCAGCACGACTTGTCCTTCTATCGTTCAAAACCTTCTCAGGCTTAAACCTCTCGCTCTCCTTCCTCTGATCAAGCCAATGCCTCTTGGTTTCGCCATCCTCAACGACGCTCGACTTGGACTGCTTGTTAGCTCGCTTCTTCTCCTCCTCGATCATGCGAATCGGGTAAAGATCCGGCGAGATGGAGAGCGGGTTCCTCAGGGTTACGTAGGCCTTTTTATAGTCGGGCTTCGCGATTAACAAACCACCTCGTTTCTTCTTTTTGCCCTCCATGTTTAGGGTTCGCACCTTTTCGACGTCGAAGCCATATAGGGATTCGAGGACTCGCTTGATCTCGATTTTGGAAGCAGAAGGGATGGTCTTCAGCGCAATTTCTGTGACGTTGGTGAAGGAAGATGGCATGAGGAGCTTGATCGGTAGATTTGCAAAGTGAACCACTCTCCTTCCCAATCGGCTTCCCATGATGTGAAGTCTCCAGAACCCTCTAAAGTCTTCACTTACTTGTGGAGACGAATATGTCTGACCTGAAACACAAGAAGCGCAGGCTTGAAGAGATTAGGAAGAAGGTGCGAGAGATGCGTGAAGATTGGGAGAGAAGACAGCAATCAGCAAGGACTGCCGAAGAAGATGGTGAAGATTAGGCTTTCTTTTTGGGCCATAGATTGGGCTTCCATTTCTTTTAATTTTTTTACGAAAAAACATTGGGCTTTAGCATCAACGCTTTTGTGCAATTTAATAGCTTTGGGCTTATCATATAATTCATTTTTTTATTCACAAGACATGTTTTCTTTTTCCCCCCTTTAATAATTTAAATTTTTAGGATTTTGCCGAATAATATAATTTTTCCTTACTTATTTTTATCCTATACTCATTTTAGAATTCTTATCTCAATCTCATTAATTTTTTTCCTCTAGACTAAATAGGGCCTTAGGATTTGCAAAGGGAGAGGGATTTGAGAGATAAAGAATGGGAGTTACAGATTTTTTTTAAAAAAAAAAATTGAGAGGCAGGCACTCATCTGCGTGATCGAATCAGTGACCTCCCATTTATAGGGAAGCTTGCATGTCTCTAAACTATAATGCCATTGACTAGAGGCATTAAATGTATGAAGATCATGACTCTTTACCACTTTATTATGTTGCCAATTTGCCATGCATATAAACGACGGCATTAACTAATGAGGTGAGGTGAGGTAACAAAAGATCCCTAGACTCTTAAGAGCCTGTTTGGGATAGGATGCTAGAATTAGACAGCATGGATATAAAAATGGAATTGGAACTTGAAAAAAAGTATTTGTTTGGTATGAATTCCATTAAAATTGGTGGAAAATTCTAATATCAAAATCTTTATGATTTATACATGGGTAAGCCAATTCACAAAACTATTCATTTTTGTGAATACATGATCAAGTGTGAAACGGAGAAAGCAGAAATGGAAGACGCATAATGGAGATGAAATGGAGAGAGTAGAAACGAGAGACGTATAATGGAGCACAATAAACTCTTTGTAACCTCCCATTAATTTCTATAACCTCTCTTTTAATTTGTAAGCTTCAGTTTTTCACGATTCAGGAACTATAAATAGGGCCCTTTGGTTGTCTAAGGAGCTCAGACTTGAAAAGAATAAAATTGCTTGTTTTTCATTTGGTTTCTGTGCCATTTTGGTATCAGAGCAAGGTCCAGAGCGCGAGAGAGTGAGTTACAGTTGAGAAAGTACGCCGGAGAGGAGAGAGATTCAGTAGAGGAGTCCCTGACGTCTTCTCGTTTTGAAATCCAGGCCTTTTCTCAGAAAACTAACGTCACCATCGCACTCAGGAGGTCTGAAAATGTGGAACAGGAGGTTCCCTGTCACTGAAAAATTCTTCACGCGCCTACACGCGCCTCCGCCTTCTTCACACGCGCCGCATGCGCTATTCCAAGGTAGACGACGCTGACGTCATCCACCACGTCATCTGTCTGACCGGTCAAACGCTAGGTAATCCAATCATTAACTGCCACATGTCACATTCGTCCACGTCACTACACCCAATCAGCCAATTTTTCATAAATTACATTTTTGCCCCAAATCTTTCAGTAATTCCATATTTCCCCTAATTTTTTATGAAATTTCATATTGACCCCTAAATTTTCTGAAATTCCATTTTGAACCCTAAACTTTCTTAAAATTACACTTTTGCCCCTTGATTTTACTTGAATTTCATTTTAACCCCTATATTTTCCATAAATTTCAATTTGAACCCATAATTCTTCCATAATTTTTTTACCCCCTAGACTGTCCAAAAATCCCATTTTGACCCTAACCTTTCAAAAAAAAATCTCACTTACCCCTATATCCTTCAAAGTTTCCATCTGCACCCCAATCTTTCCCATATCCCTAGCCTTGACACTTAACTAAAATGCCTCCAAGACGTAGACATGTGCACGAGGTTGAGATGGAAGAGATGAGACGTAGGATACGAGAATTGGAAGCCACTGTGGAATTGCAGCAAACTCTGTTAAACAACAACAAAGAAAACTTAAAGAGAGATTCGGGAAGTAATAGTTCGTCATCTACCGACAACCGTCGCCGCCCACGACAACAACAATTCCGCCCTAATGACATCAAGGTTGATAGTCCTGAATTTAAGGGAAGGCTCCAGCCAGACAAGTTTGTAGATTGGCTGCAAACTGTTGAACGAGTATTTGAATACAAGGAGATTCCAGATGCACAGAAAGTCAAAATTGTCGCCCTCAAACTCAAGAAACATGCATCTATTTGGTGGGAAAACCTCAGACGGAAGCGAGAACGTGAGAGAAAGCGCAAGATTGAGACCTGGGAGAAAATGAAACGCCAGCTCACCAGGAAATTTTTACCAGATCATTACCACCAGGATAATTTTATCCAATTGCAAAATCTTCGACAAAGATCTTTATCTGTAGAAGAATATACTAGAGAGTTTGAACAACTCATGATGAAGTGTGATATTCAGGAGAAGGAGGGGCAAACAATAGCCCGGCACCTTACAGGCTTAAACACAGATATCAGTCGTCCAGTCCAGCTTCAACAATATTGGACCTTGGATGATGTCATCCGTCTGGCCGTGCGTGTTGAGAAGCAGATGCCCAAGAGATCCACTTTCCAACCTTCATCCTCTAGGAGTTATCCAGAAGGCCGTAAGGCAGAATTTCAACAGACCAACTCCTCAAGCAAGCCACAACCTACTGCTATGCGCAAACCACCATCCAATGCTGCCAAGGAATCTGGTTCTAAAGCAATCAAATGCTTTAAATGCCAAGGATTTGGCCACATTGCTGCAGACTGTCCTACACGAAGGGTTGTCACCATTCGAGAAGGATCAAGGTATGAAGCACTTGAAGAAGATGAGGAGGACACTGAGTTCTACGGCACTGATCCCGTATATGACGAGGAGGTCACACCTGCTGATCAAGGAGAAGCATTGGTGCTTAGACGAAGTCTGCATACAACAATAGTCAAAGAAGAACCTTGGCTACGACGCAACATTTTTCACATTCGTTGCACGGCCCAAGGAAAAGTTTGTAATGTCATCATTGACAGTGGAAGCTGTGAAAATGTAGTATCTGACTACATGGTGGAGAAATTAAAGTTGCCAACACAAGATCATCTGCAACCTTACAAGCTTCACTGGCTCAACAAAGGGAATGAGGTAAAAGTTTCTAAACAATGCCTTGTGACCTTTTCTATTGGGAATCGGTATTGTGATGAAGTTTTATGTGATGTTGTTCCCATGGATGCATGCCACCTTCTCTTGGGGAGGCCATGGCAATATGACCGACATGCTATACACAACGGGCGAGCGAACACTTATTCTTTTATGAAAGATGGTGTCAAGTTCACATTAGCGCCTCTACCACCCAATGAGATTAGCCAATCTTCAAGGGAATCTAGTGTCTCTAAGCCATTAGTGTCTTTGTTGACTAAGAAGGAATTCAAGGTGTCGAAATCCGAAGCTCAAATGATGAGCTTTATTCTGGTGATTGAGGTGAACGACGAGACTACCAATCCACCTGGAGTCATTCCGTTATTGTTAGAATTTCCAGATGTAATATCTGATGAAATACCACCAGGGTTGCCTCCAATGCGAGACATACAGCATGCTATTGACTTCGTTCCAGGAGCAGTCATTCCTAATAAGCTTGCTTATAGGATGAGTCCCCAGGAACATGTCGAAGTCCAACGACAAGTTGAAGAGTTGTTGAAGAAAGGGTTAGTTCGAGAAAGTATCAGCCCTTGTGCTGTACCTGTTCTTCTAGTACCTAAGAAGGATGGAAGTTGGAGAATGTGCATTGACTGTCGAGTCGTCAACAAGATTACTATTAAATATCGGTTTTCGATACCTCGGCTTGATGATATGCTGGACCAGTTGCATGGTGCCACTACTTTCTCCAAAATTGACCTTCGTAATGGGTACCATCAAATCAGAATTCGGCCAGGAGATGAGTGGAAGACCGCTTTCAAGACCAGAGATGGCTTATACGAGTGGAATGTGATGCCTTTTAGGTTAACAAATGCCCCTAGCACATTTATGCGCCTGATGAATTAGGTATTGAGACCCTTCATTGGTAAATTTGTTGTTGTGTACTTTGACAATATTCTTATTTACAGTAAGAATCAAGAGGAGCATTTAGATCACTTGCGGTAAGTTTTGCAAGCCTTACGTGAGCAGAAGCTTTATGCAAATCTCAAGAAGTGCACCTTCCTCACCAACGAAGTTGTGTTCTTGAGTTACATCATTACCGCAGAGGGTGTTCATGTTGATCCAAGCAAAGTTGCAGCCATTGACAGCTGGCCAATTCCAAAATCTATCTAGGAGGTTCGAAGCTTCCACGGATTAGCTTCTTTCTACAGGAGGTTCATCCGTAATTTTAGTTCAATTGCTGCACCACTTACAGATTGCACCAAAGGGCAGAAGTTTCAGTGGACAGAACAAGCTTAGAAAAGCTTTGAGGAGCTTAAGAAGAAGTTGACTGAAGCTCCAGTCCTAGCTCTTCCTAACTTTGACCAAGTGTTTAAAGTTAGTTGTGATGCTTCTAACACCGGGATTGGTGCTGTCTTAAGCCAGGAGAGCCATCCTATTGCCTTTTTTAGTGAGAAGCTTAATGATGTCAAGCTTAGATATTCTACTTATGATAAGGAATTCTATGCCATTGTTCGAGCTCTCCAACATTGGAGTCATTATCTCCTGAATAAAGAGTTTATACTTTTTTCTGATCATGAGGCTCTCAAGTATTTGAATTTCCAACAGAAGATCAGTCGCAGACATGCTCGTTGGAGTGAACTCTTACAGTCTTATCCATTCTTTATCAAACATAAGGCTGGAACTTTGAACTCCATAGCTGATGCCCTTAATCGTCGCCATGTGCTACTTACAACACTACAAACTAAGGTTGTTGGATTTGACCTTGTCAAAGAGTTGTATCAGGATGATCCTGATTTTTGAGGAGTGTGGAAAGCAACTGTAAATCAACCTTTCCACCAGTTCTATAGACACGACGGGTTTTTATTTCGAGGTAAAACCCTCTGTATTCCATAGGGTTCCTTGAGAGAAGCCATAATTTGGGAAGCACATGACGGTAGATTAGCAGGACATTTTGGACGGGATAAAACAGTTAACCTGGTGAAGGAGAACTTTTACTGGCCTCGACTTGAACGGGATGTCAACAGGCATATATAAAGATGCAGGATTTATCACTTGGCTAAATCCAAGGGTCAAAATACCGGACTATACATGCCTCAACCAATTCCAGAAGCACCTTGGGAAGATATAACTATGGATTTTATTCTAGGTTTACCACGGACTCAGAGGCAAAAAGATTCTATCATGGTAGTTGTGGATCGTTTCTCAAAAATGGCCCATTTCGTTCCATGCCAGAAGATTAATGATGCTGTTCAAGTAGCAGACTTATACTTTAAGGAGATTGTGCGTCTTCATGGCATTCCCAAGACTATCACTTCTGACCATGATGTGAAGTTTCTCAGCCACTTTTGGCGGATACTATAGAAGAAGATGGGAACTAAGCTCCAGTTTAGCAGCGCTAGTCATCCCCAGACAGACGGCCAAACTGAAGCAATAAACAGGATTCTTGGTAATCTTCTTCGTAGTTTCGTGGGAAAGAATTTGAAGTAATAGGATCTCATTCTTGCTCAAGTTGAGTTTGCTTATAATAACTCTGTCAACCAAGCAACTGGGAAGTGTCCGTTTGAAGTTGTTTATGGCACTCGTCCCCTTAGTCCACTAGACTTGACCTCTTCACTTGATAAGCAGCAATATAGTTTTGATGCTGACCAAAGGGCTATGGAAATTAAGAAGTTACATGAACAAGTTTGTGCCCGAATACAAAAGCAGAACTTGAGATACAAGACTCATCGTGACAAGCATCGAAAGTATCAAACTTTTAACGTGGGCGATTTGGTTTGGATACATTTACGAAAGGAACGATTTCCTAAACAACCAAATGCTAAGCTGTCCCCGAGAGCTGATGGTCCGTTCAAGATAGTGCAAAAGATCAACAATAATGCTTACAAGGTAGAATTACCTGGTTCTTACGGTGTATCTGCCACCTTCAATGTCGCTGATCTATCTCCGTACATTAATAAAGATGATGAATTTGACTCGAAGGCGAGTTCTGCCTAACTTGAGGAGGATGAAACGGAGAGAGTAGAAACGGAAGATGCATAATGGAGATGAAACGGAAAGAGCAGAAACGAGAGACGTATAATGGAGCACAATAAACTCTTTGTAACCTCCCCTTAATTTCTATAACCTCCCTTTTAATTTGTAAGCTTCAGTTTTTCACGATTTCGGAACTATAAATAGGGCCCTTTGGTTGTGTAAGGAGCTCAGATTTAAAAAGAATAAAATTGCTTGTTTTTTATTTGGTTTCTGTGCCAAAGTGTAACCTGGTTCTTTTTAATAAAGTCTCAAATATTTCTAATATGATTGATGAGCAGGTGATTCTGAGTCTTCAAATAACATAAATATTTTACATTTTGCATTACACTTGAGTCAGGGAAACAAGAAAGGCAGGGATCCAAATCAAAGACTGGTTATCTTAGTATGGCCCCCCAATCTCAACAATGACCACTGACAAAGCTCTAACGAAGCTATACAATGTGGCGCAGACTACCTTCGTAATACTCACACACTACTTTTCATGGCTAATTCAAGGACCAAACCAGTAAGATCGATGAGATGACTACAAATCAGTGCATCACTATTAAAATCAAGCATCAAGCTTCACCGCTCAACCTCATCATTATTTAGGTTTTGAATACTTGCTTTAATATTCTCACTCACTATTTATTCAGATTGATCCCTATCTACACTGGTGCACCATCATGAGAGAAATATGTTCAGGAGACTTTTTATTCACATATCTTCCGGTCGCCGAAAGGATTCAATTTAGGGGCCTCATGAATGTTGTCGTCATTAAGAAAACCGAAAGAGGGATCCACTTGTCATGCAACAAAGTGATTGCAGAAGATGTTTTGCAGAACTGATCTTGTGGGAAGCAGAGATTGGGGTTCCCGGCGAAGCTCTCACGTGGGAAGACACTGAATTGGCCGTCGGTTGGGATTCTGCCCGTGAGGTTATTGTGGGAGAGGTCAAGCGTGGTCAGGCTCGTCATGTCTCCAATTTCTTCTGGTATCGGGCCTGTTAGATGGTTCGTTGACAGGTTGAGAATGTTTAGGACCGTTGCGTTTTCTATTCCTCTGGGGATTTCTCCGATCAGCATGTTCCGGCTGAGGTCGACGGTCGTCAAGGAAACACAGCGAGATACGGAATCAGGAATCGGACCAGTGAGGTTGTTCTGGCTCATGTTCATCTTTGTAAGCATCGGCAAGTCAAAAATTTCCACGGGAATCTCGCCTCCAAATTGGTTCATGTCTAGTAACAGATTTTGCAAGCTCCGGAGCTTGCCGATCGCCGCAGGTATTTTACCGGTGAATGAATTATTCGAAAGTGTCAAAATTCCTAGAACATTGCTTGACATATGCAGCGGTAGCTCACCGGATAGGTTGTTGTTGCTGAATTCGATCACCGACACAGAAGGAAGATTGAAAAACCCAGAAGGAATCGATCCGTTGAAGAAATTATTAGAAATCCGAACCTTTTGCAGAGACTTACACTCACCTAACTGCTCAGGAATCTGACCGTCGAAGAAATTATCCATGAGAATGAAAAGCCACAACCTTCCTCCTTTACACAAATCCTTCGGAACCAAACCAGTGAAACGATTGCTTGCGACGTCAAGCATCTTCAATTTTCCGTTCTGGCCGAGATTTTGAGGCAAGACGAATGAGAAGTTGTTGGCCCAAACCTGAAAAACCTCCAAATTCGGAAGGTCGCTAATGAATGACGGGATAATCCCATGAAGCTTGTTTTCATACAAATTGATCAAAGTTAAGTTCGTTAGTTTGGAAAAACTGGAGGGTATCTCTCCGGTGAGTTCATTACAGGATAAATCCAGTTGTTGGAGGCTAGTCATGCCGGAGAGTTCGGATGGAATTTCCCCGGTCAGATTGTTCTGTTGCAGATACAGCCACATCGCGTTCTTCAAATTGCCCAAGCTCGGTGGAATCTCGCCGTTTAAATTGCAGTACGCTAAATCAATCCGTTCAAGTGGGCTCATCGTGCCTATCTCCTGTGGAATACCTCCTTGGAACATATTGCTATACCCCAAATTCAATTCCCTGAGCTTCTTCAATTTTGCTAAACTCGCCGGGATTTTCCCTCTGAGGTTGTTCATGTTCAGCCTCAGAATTTCCAAGCTGTCGAACTCTGAATAACTCTCAGGTATCTCACCGGAAAAGTAGTTCCCGGAAAGCCAGAGCTGCTTCAGTTCCGTCAATTTCACCACCTCCTCGGGTAACGAGCCGTTGAAGTTGTTATCATAAACGTTTAGAACCTCAAGCTTCGTCATGTTGAGAGTGATTTCACCAGGGAACTTTCCGGTAAAGGCGTTGTAGGAGATGGTAAGAACCTTGAGAGAAGTAAGATTGGCGAGCTCTTTAGGAAGCTCGCCGGTAAGGTTGTCCTGTGAGAGGGTGAGAGAGACAAGCTTGTCCAAGAGACCAATCTCCGGCGGAACAGAACCGAACAGAGGAAGGAACGAAACGTTCAAAGAGACAACACGGGAACTATAGTCGCAGATGACTCCAGAGAAGTTGCAATGAGCAGAAGGAGAAGCAGAGGGCTTCCAGTCATCCATTGCAGAAGGTGTAGCATTGGGAGCTTTCATGGAAGCTTTGAGCTTGAGCAGAGCATCGAGGTCAGTGTATGCACTGGACAGGGCCGAACTGTACCCGAGGAAGGAAAGAAGAAATGGGAAGTAACATAGAATGGATCTTCTCATCTCTCTCTGAGTCACTGTTGTTCTTTGGACGACGACGACGATCCGATGATAGGGTTGCGGGCTCGCATTTAACGCTGCATGTTTGTGATACGTTCTTCTTCTTCTTATTGTCAGTACTTAATTTTTTGGTAGTACAACTAATTATAATATTAACTTCTTTGGATATTCAACTTACCATAATTAGACTTTTTAGATAGTCAATAATATATATACGGTCACATAAAAGTTACTTGATTTAGAACATAATAGAGAGCATTTGTAATCACTTTACAATTCTTAAAAACAAGTTAGGTAAAATTTTGGTTTCTTTGAAAATTTTTACATTTTTTTATTTATACTTTTATTAAAAAATTTATATAATTATATTAGTACTTTAATAATGATAATTAAAATTCTAACACATTATTTTTTTCAAAAAGAATAATAAATAAAGTAGAGATATAATTAAAAAAATAATTTATAAAAATTATTTAATATCTTATATTTTGAACTAAGTTGAGTTTTTAAAAGATAATTTATATTGTGATCACAAGGAAATATATGAAAGGAAGGAAATTATCAAAGCAACAAACAACTACTAAATGGGTTAATGGCATAAAGTGTTTTTAACATAAAAATTACCACCATATAACTTCTTTTAAAATAATATAATTATATGTCGTAAGATAATTATTTTTTCACTTTTATTATTTTATTTTATTTTTTTACTTGGCCAACTAAATTACTTGACCTGAATCATTTGGGTGCTAGGTCATTTTGAGGCCAGTCAAGTGATTAGTTATTTCTTTTCTGTCCACAGACAAAAATAAACAGGAAGTCACTATTCCAAAAAAAATTGTTATTATCATTTTAATAATAATCAATTTCGTGTTTGTCTTTATTTGCAAATAATTTTTTTAGGAGATCCTTCAATGTAGTATTTTTCTTTAATAATTCATAATGTTCTTGAACCATTAGCTGGATTGAAATGAAACCCGATCCAATTTAAAAATTTCCCTTTGTAAGTAATAAAATTCTAGAATTGGTTTTTCTTCACCCTGATAATATTGAATTCTTCTCAAATGCACGTCTTAACATAGCAACATGTTTGGATTATTTTATCTTGACTACTAACATAGCAACATCTTGATCATGTACATGCTAGATTCATCCACCAAACAGATTAACAAAGTCAGCTAATAAGTCCTTATCTGACTTGTGCTTCTTCTTGAACTCAGCTTCCAGATTCTCTGTTTTGATGCCATAGTCTGCAAATTTGAAGGACTGTTATCAGAAAACAACACTTGCTCCGACGAACCCTGTCCATGCACTTGTTTGTTTTTGACTTTATACTGAGAAAATAATAATTACTGTGTTAGGTAAGTAATTATATTACCATTAATTTATCATACAAAGGAATCAAGTTCATGTTGAGTCATACAGATTAAAGCTGATGCCATGAGAGATATTAGTTTATTGACTACTTATTTAGTTTGTAATCTTATTTTATTAATAAAATGAAGTTTAACTAGCAAAAGATATGGAATATTGCAACAGTAAAGAAATCAAAACTAAAAAAAGGAAGAATAAAGTATGAAAGAACAAATTCTAAAAATTTTTCCAGTCTCAGTATCAAATTCTCCACTTTCACTTTGGAGTTTCTGATTGAGTTCCATCTTATTTTAATAAAAACTTTTGTTGTTTTATGAGCTCCCGTCATTTGACAGAGCACTAGAGTATAAAAAAATTGTGTTTTGATTGATAAATGTAAAGTTTAGGTATATCAATTATTAAATATTTCCAATGCAAAATTATCTGTTAAGCTTAATCCTTTCATTATTCAATAACATGATTCTCTGAACATTTTTTTAAAAGTAATCAATCAATTTAATATTTGCAACTCATGCACACACGTCAACCTGTGGTTGAAATCCTTGACCTCACATTATAGAAAGGTGATGTTACCAGTTTACCACTAAGACTAATAGCGATTCTTTGAACATAACTACCTTTGTTGGTGACACACACACACACACCATTTCATTGGTTACAATAGTGACTCCCATTAAATTTTATCAAAAAGAAAAATTATAACATGAAGGATTTTTTGAAATAGTAAAGAAGATTAATAATGTGATGCAGAATTATCTTTAAGCCTAACCCTTTCATTGATGAGTGACACGTAGTGTCAAAAGAGGCATATGATTCTCCAAACATACATAAACATAATTTGATAGCAGAATGTGTAATCTGGTTCAGCAATATTATTCCATATGCTTGACATTAAAACCAATGAAGCTGTTCTGTAAAGTTCTGATTCTGGACAACTGTATCATAGGCAGAATCAACAAGCACATATTGTTATAAGACCTTCAAAATTGCATAAACACATGAACAAACCAGATAGAACAGAAGAGAGGACCACAAAACTTAATCTTAGATGGAGAATGATAGAGCTATTCATACTGGACAAAATCAGCATCAATCAGGTGTTCTTCTGTTCTTTAATTGCTCAATCTCTCTCTCTCTCTCTCTCTCTCTCTCTCTTTATTCAAAAAGTTCAAATACAATTTATTTTTTTATTCATTTGCATTGAGATTAAGTTTTTTTCTCCAATTTATTTTTTGCTCTGGAAATTTTTGTTTAATTTATTTATCAAGTTGAGGTGCTGATATGCTTGACAGGTAGAAGAAACAAGTGTTGTCCTTATGTGAAGAAGAAAGGAGAAAGGAGCTTCATTGAAGGATGGTAACATTAATTCTTTCTTTCTTTTTATTATTTTCAACCAGAGAATTTTTTTTCTATAATATTTTACCATATCATGAAATCAAATTTATCAATACTTGATAAAAATGATGGATTTTCCTAGCTACTCTATCTATTAGGTGAAAAGTAGGGAATGAAGATTAATTAAAAAAATAATATTTATTGGGAAAAATGAATAAGTTTAATTACATGATTTAATCTTTTTATCAATTGATTTGAATGATTATAGTATGTAATTTGTGATATTGCAGCCTCTTTGCCTTGTGCTGCTGCTGGCTCTGTGATGCTTGCTTTGATGTTACAGTTTCTTAAGAGGCAGCCACATGCCAATGAAGATTGTACTTATACTGTGATAATATTAATGTATGTTTTGTACCACTTTTAATTTCCTTTTAATTCTAACTATTTATTAATATGTAATAATATGTTGTTTGATGATCTCAATATTAATAATTATAATTTTTATAATATTTCTAATCGTTAATTTCTAGTCTAAGATAGTGCATCTCAAAATAAGTGCCTCCATGTTCAAGTCATTTTATTTTACTGTCACAGAACATATGAATGCAAGGACATTTGGAATATTTTTTTTAATGCATGATAAATATAAATGCATGTGAAAATATTTAAACATCTTTATAATTATTTTGTCTTTTAATAAAAAATAAGTTTTTTATCCACAGCATAAAAGAATGCCAGTGATGAAAACAAAAAAGTATTAAAATTATGTTATCGATATGAGTATATTATTGGTAGACAATTTATAAATATTTTTATAAGGTTCTTTAAACTTGGAAGTATATCTTGGACTTAATAAGTTAATGAGACTTAACTCATCCAAATTTTTTTCATTAAAAAAAAAGTAGCTTACTTGCAAAAGAGAACCTAAACATCATCTCAATACACCAAAGTTGGTGATAATTAATCTCATTGTTCATCTCAACCAACAGATCTTACCTAAACCCAACCTAGTTAATTGATAAACTCTTCATGACTCATGAGTACTGTTCATTAAAATGTCAGAAGTGAAGCAGATAGGCCATTCGAACTGTCACTGTGTTACATTGTAGCTATAAACCCCAAAAAAAATTGGCTATATATATCACAAGGTTTACATCTGAAACTCAATAACTCAGAATTAGTGTTCTGGTTTTTAAGTGTATGCGCACTTGAGAAAGAAGATCATGGAGAAGCATTCTGGCTTTCAATCTGCAGTTATGCTCTTCTGGGTATTCTTGTTTATCACTGTAAAATTTTGCAGTGCTGATTCTGCATCTTTTGTAACTCAAGCATTTCCAGGTTTGGAACCTTTATTTATAGCTTCAATAAACCTGACATGTATAAGTGTTTGATATCACGTTTGCTAAAGCCAAGGCCCAAAACTATAGTTTTGGCAAAAGACACTAAAAAACTGCTTCTACCAAAACATGGTCTTGGCTTTCATAAACTTGTTTCCAGAAACCATTTGGAAATTCAATATGTGCTTGTGTATTCTATATAACATGTTACATTTGCTTGCAAACAGCGTTCCATCTGATTTTAATTTGTAATATTTTTTCAAGCCTTTGCTGATTTTAAAAATACTGTTCTATCCTCCCTTATTAACGATTATTGACTAGTTTTCATAAGCATTGACATTCTTTAAAGAAATGGTGTTGTATTGAATAATCAGGCTATGATATATAGAAAAATTTAAAGAAAATTTTAGTTTTCATCCCTATAATTTTATTTTTAATTCAGTCTTTCTTATTAAAAAATTTTGAAATAATTTTGTTTATTTTTTTGTATGATATAATTAATTTTATACATTATTTTGGTACCCAATTATATGCATGATTTATGACTACAAAATAGTAAAAATATTTACAATGAAATAAAATTAATTCTACAATGTGACATAATATTGATAAAAATATAAAAACAATGACAATAAATGTGATTTAAATTATAAGAACTTGATTATCAGTTTTAAATTATCCAAACCAAATTTAAAATCAGGTGAAAACATGTGGATCAAAAGTATAATTTCTCCTAAGGTTCGTTAGCTTGTTGGCAAATGTTAAATATTCATGAAGGAAGCATGTATAATGGTTCTCATGATCTCATCGGATTCTACATGCAGAAAATGAAGCCAAGCCTGAACATGGAGATTTGAGAAACACAGGCTCAGTAAATCACATTGAAGAAGACAAGTTCAAATCAGTCAAGAAGCACTTTAACACGAAGCCTCTTCAACCAAAACCAGTAATATTCAAGAAGCCATTCATCAAAGTCCCTCCCAGAATTCATGATATTCAAAGGATTTCACCAAAGCCATCAATTTCAGTTCTTGAAGAGGAGCCAGTTTCAATGGTTAAGAAGCCAAATTTTCCACTAATTCCTTTCCTTAACAATTTATTCCCAATCATGAAAAAGCCAGAGCCTGTTTCAATTCCAGAATTTAAGAGGCCTACTTTTAAACCAATTCCACGTATCAAGAACTCAAAATTTCTACCAATTCCAAGATTTAGAAAGCCTATTCCAGAACCAATTCCAGTTGTTAATAAACCAATTCCAGAGTTTGAAAAGCCTATTTCACAACCAATTCCAGCAGAGAGGAAACCAATTCCAGAGTTTGAAAAGCCTATTTCAGAACCAATTCCAGCTGTAGAAAAACCAATTCCAGAAAATGAGAAGCCTATTCCGAAACCAATTCCATTAGCAAAGAAATCAAATCCAGAAAATGAGAAGCCTATTCCAAAACCAATCCCATCAGCAAAGCAACAAATTTTCAACAACGAGAAGCCACTTTCCATCTCAAAGAAAAACTTGTTACTCCCTCAACTAGATCCTACCATTGATTCAGAGTCACTGAAGTTGAAGGAGTCTTTATTCAAGAAACCTATTCCCAAAATTCCATTTGCTCCAAAATTTAAGAGGCCCCTTCCAGCCCAAAAGCCAATTCCTCCTCCATGAGATGCTTGCACCATGTCCCTGTCTTATTTATGATCACTTCTACGTTTATGTCTGTATTATTATGGATTGAAGAACGATATGGCAGTGTGTTAAAATTAATCAATGAATAAAAATGGCGTTATGTACGGGTATGAGTAGCTGAACCATGAAACCATCATGCAAGGTTTGGTTTAGAAAATACCATATGGTTCATGAACATGGTAACTTAATAATGAGCATGTTTTGTGCGTAACTTCTTACTCATTCATTACAACTTTATTTATACTTCTTTCTAGAATATGTTTTATCTATGTTGTATAAGAATTTAATGTGACTTCAGATCACTTTATCCGTGTTAAACTCCGACTAAAATTCTAATAATGGCTCTAATTAATACGACCGACTAACTTAAGTTCAATTTTTAAATGCCAAACATCAAAACTTCCAAGAAAAAATTCTGTTTTTTTTTTTTTGAGTGAGATAGAGAGATGACAAATAAGAATTTTTCACAGCCTAAATTTTAATGATTTAGTCTTCCAAAAAGCTATTCCCCGCATGTCCTTACTGAAGAACCTAAAGATATACCTGATAAGATTGATCACATGGTACACCACACCATGTTATATACCAAGTACCAACCTATGATTAGCATATAAATATTTCTTCCCGGATAGTCTTAAACAAAACGAGAATCTTAAAACAATACGCTAGACAAGAGCGGAATAGATCTAGATATCACACAAGTACTGGTAAGATCAAAAATGAAAATTCTACATTTTGAACCGTGATGCCTGCAGGATTTCAAAACTTTGACAAGCCAGTCTGATGAGGAAGATTGGTAGCCACAATCTGTTGCATTCTTCTCCTTTTCAACCAGTGACATGTGGGAGAATCACCTCAAACCAACATGACACTCAGATGTCGACACAATGTTACATTCTACTCCTCACTTTTCTTCTTTTTGTCTTTCTTCTTTTTCTTAGGAACTTCAGCAGAATCATCATCATCAGCATGCTTTTTCCTCTTTCTTTTCTTCTCCCCCGCATCAGCATCCTCCTCCTCACCCTGCATCTGGCCATCCTCAGCAGAATCCTTACGTTTCTTCTTCTTCTCCTTCTTTGCAGTTTCCACTTGATCTGATTCCTTACCAGCATCAGCTTGTAGAACAGCATCGTCGTCCCCACTTTTCTCTTTCTTCTTTTTCTTCTTTTCTTTCTTTTCTTCAGCATATGGAAGCTCTTGCATTTCCTCATCTACAGACGCACCATGAGGAGCTTGACCAAGAGTAGAATCAGATGTAGGATTATATGTCTACACAAAACACAAAACTCCAACACATTAAAAAAAAAAAATTGTGGTGCATCCTTTCACACATAGCAAATGAAGCAAGCATCACACCTTAGCCGGAGTAATTAAGCCTCCAGCTCCCTTCTTCCGATCTTTGTCATAGCTTTCTATCTTCGGCTTTCCTTTAGCTGAACCAGCAAGTCTACCTAGTTCTTTGCCTTCAAGACTCCTCAGGCGTGCTTCAAGCTGTGTGAAAGTATATATAAGAAATGGTAGCAAGTGACAACAAAAGTAGGAGAACTAACTAGAGAAGATAGCACAAGCACCTTGGCTCTGTTCTCCAATCCCATCGAATTATCTTGACCATCCCCAAGAGCATCATACCTAATGGCCAATGCTGTCTTTGCAGCAAGTGACCGAGAAATTTTACCCTTGAACTTTGGAGCAGCCTGACCAATCAATGATGCATGATAAATAAGCCCATATTTTGGGGTAGCATGCTTAGTCTTTAGGGCCCTAAAGAGAGCCTTTTCAGCACCAAGTATCTGTACAGTACTCCCTGGCTGCTTTGCAAGATTGAGCAAGCTACCACCATGGGCAATAAGGCGAGCACCGACAAGCTCCCCAACAAGAGCAGTCAAATTGGGTGCAATAGTGTTCATCCTGCTTTTAAGATAATCATATAGTTGTGCTCTGTACTCTGAAAGAGACAAAACCTGGTCACATAGTTCTCTAATGTTTATCAAATCAAGCTCACCAACTTCAGTTCCCATGGATATCACAGCCGCTTCTTTCAGTTCTGTCTCAACTTCCTCAGGCAAAATCTGTGAAATATGCATTAACAGAACATAAAATAATTCATTCACAACATTTGCATTCTAAGCATCTTAATATAAACAGTCATGCAGATGTTTGAACAAGACTAAACCTTGTAATTATAAAAGATCTCAGGAGATTTAAGATTATTAGAATAATTCATGGTAACAAATAAAATTCCATCGAGGAAGTTGAGACTGGATAATCAACCTAAATCAACGTTAAACCCTACCTCAGAAAAATCAAGATTTGCAGCATTAGTACGATCTCCCATCAGTTTCACTGCTTTCGCATACTGGATATTGTCTTGTATTATTTTAGTAAGCTCAGGGAAGTGCCAACCATACCATTCTCGAACTCTCATGGCATATGTATTCAGCTCTTTATCAAGATCATCAAGAAGACCAATGGCTTGAACAATCATGGTATCCACCTGAAAAATTGAATGAATAAATGAAAAATTCCTACCAGCCAAAATAACAGATTGAAATGAATTAAAGCACAAGAGAACTTTTTAAGTAAATCGAACTTATAGTGAAAAACATCAACTGGATCAGAGTTTTTGAAGGTCCCATTTTACCATAACAAGATATCTGAGTTCCACGACAAACAACTAAGATGTTTAACATATTACGATAATAATTTAAAGTTTGAGCACACAATTTTTTATTATCCAACAAGTCTATAAAAAATAAAAAATTCATCCGTCCTTAAAGGTGATCTGATAGAACTTGTAAATGAAAAATAACATAGAAGTATAGCTTCCACAACACACTGCATTTTAATCACACCACGAGGTTTTTTTTTCCTTTTTAAAAAGCCTCAATATTCTAGCAATATACTTACTGTTCATAGTGCTGTTTAGAAAAACACAATGTCTCACTCACATTTTGAAATAAATATAATATCTTTCAATATATATACATATTAAGAATCAATAAACCATAGTGAGAAAAAATAAAATGGCTTTTCTAAAATGAATCATCCTATACATCAAATGGTTAACAATTTGGAATGATGAAGCAAGCAAATGACTACACGTGCCAAATCGCCAACGCCAGCGGCATATTCAAAAGCTAAAAACAGAAAAAGAAATAATATCAGATCACTATGTTCAAACCAAGATGAAGCATACCTTATCTGCACTGAACTTCAGCTTGTATCTTGATAAACTATGAGATAAACCCAAACTCATAGGGGCCATATCTTGCACAGCAAGACCATGTATCAGTTCATTTAACTGATTCCTGACACCCCTCATTAATTCCATAACAGCATTGTTGTGGATACATTCTATTTTCTGCAATCATAGTGATTGTTAAATTACAGTACTTGAGTAAAACAAACAGTTATCAAAAGTTTCCAGATGATAAGCAGTCATACCAATTTGTCCTTAATCATATTCCCAAGCTTCGAGTCAGCAACAGCTAAGGTTTCATTCTCGCAGTGAGCGCGCAAGAATTTGCGCAGACCTTTACTAGCTTTACTTTCAATTAACAAGGATGCAGCCTCCAGAGCTTCAGATGTATTCTCAAACTTTGAAAATGCTTTTAACTTGACCACCTAATGGAATGCAATACACGATAAACTTCATAGGCCATTTAAAAATTCAAGCACACATCACAATAAAAAAGTCAATACGTAACAAAAAGAAATAGAACCTGTCTAGCTGCATCTGCAGTGGAAAATTCCTTCCATAAGTCCTGCATAAAAATATTTCATATAGAAGAACAATCAGACCACTTCAACAGTAAGAAAATTGGAAAAGTAAACAGTATATATTCATTTGCAAATTGTACTAACAGGTTTAGTGGAAATCCAAACAAAAAGCATTGGAAAGCTCAAGCGTGTATATAAAAACCAGTAATTTCGATTGTCTCATATCTTCCAAAACATGCATGAACTCTGACCCAAGGCGCTATTGAATACTTAAAAAGACGTTTACAACGCAACTTCACAAATGTTTTTGATTGAAGGACACGCAGGTATCAAAAGAAAAACTAAGGTAACTTAAGGAAAAGAACATTTTTATTAGTGGGCAGCCTGAAAATGAACCAAAATCACTTGGGCCCTTGATTAGGTTGTGAAAAATTGAAAGAAAAATAACCTCAAATGCAAGTTTTCATTCTGTCAACATTATTAGGATAATTACCTCTACTTTAGAAAGCTTCCCTTCATCAAGAACCTTAAAAAGGGCAAAGCCCGCCGGTGTCTCAAACAACACAAGCATTTTATCGTCTCACGAATAAACCTGAAAGGAGGGCAAAAAAAAAAAAAAGAGGAAACAAGTTATACATAAAAAATTCCCAAAAATATAATCAATTTTCAAAAACATAAATCTTTCCACGAATACCAACTTACATCAACCGCTACACTAGTTTATATGCATCACACCAGGAGGAAAAAAAAAAGGTACTTCATTAATCCGTTTTGCCCATGGATACATGAGATGAGAAGCACCAACCCAACGCAGAAAACACAGTGACCAGAAGCAATATGAATGAAAATTTTAACTACACGCTCAATAATAATGTTCAAAAGGCTTTAACACTAGCAATAACATAACATAAAGAAATACCAAAAAAACAAGTATGCAGCTAACTTAAAGAGGAGGAGAAGGGCAAAGAAAAAAAGAAAACAGTGCAGATTAAGGAGAAAGAACATACCCACTAGATGACTGACGACTGTAACTCCAAGGGTTTGAGTATGTGAGACTCCGAAAGAATTTAATGGAAAACTCGTCGCAAATGCAGAAGCCAGGCGGCGGAGCGGCTTCTGCTTCTCGCAGAAAATATAGAGGGAGTGGCGCTAAAGGTTATGCCCACATTCTTGGGCCTAATCTATTTGGGCCTCCAGCAAGCCTAAATGTTTGGGCTCAATTCATTTTAACTACCAATAAACAGTTAGTTGCATTTTGTTGGGCCGATAACCAATACCTGAGTCAGATGAGGTACCATTACCGTTAGGACTTTGATTAAGGGTAAAATTACTAGAATATCCGAATTACTTATTGTATGTCGAGTACTTTTAACAGTGTGATGAATTTAACTATGATCTTAATGATATTGATAGTTGAAAAGTAAGGATATTAATTTTAGGCGTGTGCGTGGGTCTAGCCGCATTGAATTAAAATTAAGGATATACATAAGTTGAGATGAGTTAGATTAAACTAAAGTTAGTATTTTTAGAATGCGATGAACTTATTCAAATTAAATTTAAAATATCCAAACATGTTAAAAAAAAACTCATAAATAAGTTTGGCCTTAACATCTCAAAGTTTTGTGCTTATTTGGATTAACTAAAATATTAGAATTGTTTATACTATTTTATTTTACTAACTAGCACATAATTCAACTTATAAGGAATTATGCTAGTTTAATGATGGGTAATTGTATAAAAAAATATTATTTTATTTTTTTTTAGCCAATTTCAATTTTGATTCTATCTTTTTAGTCAATTTTTATTTTTATATTATTTTAATTTTATTTTATTAATAATAAAATATATTTAAGTATTTAAGCTAAACACATTTGAGCTTGAGCTTGACTTAAAAATAAAGAAAAAATTTTAAGCTTTCAAGCTCAATTTAAAAATTTTTTAGATTTATTCAGATTAACTTAAATTTTTAACTCTAAATCATAATTTAGTGTCAGCTGTGAATAACTAATGCAGGATTGGATTTACTGTGACTGTCTAAGCAATTTACTATTTTTTGTGATCAAGTTGTATGAACTTGATTCAATACCCTAAAATAAAAAAATATTATCTTTTGTCTCAAGTAAATGTCTAGAATATAAATTACTTTTTAGATCATTAAATGTATTTTTCTTTGAAATGAGAAAGATTTAAAATTCACAAAGTGCTGGGACGGTCAACCAATATTTAAAGATATATATATTTTGCCAAAATAAATTACTGAGGAGGGGGGTCGATAAAGATAGAAACGGGCAAAGTAACGGTTTGTTAACTCCGTTTTTGGGCAGTGTGGAAGAATGAGGAGTGAAATTAGGAAGGAAACAGAGTTCATGCAAATGGAGCCAAGGCAGTTACGTCTTCTTCTCTCATCACTCTCCGCCACGTACTACTCTCTCAGATGTGTCACCCTCCACACACCCCTCTCAGCTTCTCCTTCTCCAGTTCTCTTCTCTGCTCTCTCTCTCTCTCTCTCTCTCTCTCTCTCTCTCTGCAATTGACGTTTGTTGGTCAAAGATGAACCCTCACAGCCTTCTGGCTTCAGCCGCCATTAACATTGGCTTGGCCTTCATCATTCTCACTCTCTTCTCCATCCTCAAGAAACAGCCTTCCAACGCCACCATCTACTACGCCCGCCGCCTTGCCCACCGCCACAGCATCCCCGTCCCTCCGGCCTTTTTCCTCGCCCGTTTCATTCCTTCAGTCTCTTGGATTCCTCGCGCTTATCGCGTCACGGAAGATGAAATCATTCAAACGAGTGGCCTCGATGCTCTTGTCGTCATTAGACTCTTCAAGTTTGGGTCAGTTTATACAATAATTAATAATTACTGACTTTCAACCGTTTCTTTTTCTTTCTTTCTTTCCTTCTCTGGCGATCATACCTTGGAATTTAAGTTCTTAACGATTTTTTTCCGGCAGGATATCATTTTTCTTTTTTCTTTTCCTTCGTTGTGTAATGAATTTGAATATCTCCTAAAAATTGAATATATGCAATCAAACATTGTAATTATAACAAGCAAAATAAGCAGTCTGTTGAAAATATCAGTAAAGAATGCTGTGCTAAGTTAGTGAAGAGAAAGAAATGTACGTGTCGTTCTATGAACTAATTGGTTTCTTAGTTCCAAAAAATCTACCAGTAATGTTCTTCTTGGAACTTTTGTCAGCGATCACTTTATAATAAGTATGTATAGCAGTGGAGCATTCTATGATCCAGTCGCTACTAGCTTGCAATTTTTGTTTAAGTTGTCAAAGTTCTTAAATCTTAACCATTATTCTTATTATACATTATATATATTTTTAATATTAATGTTCCTTGCAGCATCAAATTTTTTGCGGTGTGTACTCTTGTAGGATTGGTGGTACTACTCCCGGTTAACTACGGTGGTGGGGATGTTTCAGAAAGAAATCATTATTCAATGGATTCGTTTACAATATCCAATATTAGTATAGGATCTGACAGGTGTGAATGTCTTGGCATCGGACAGGAGTAACTGATAATATCTTCTGTACTTCCAATTAGATTCTCTGATGCACCAAAAAAGTAAATTTACTGTTTTGCCTTGGCCAACCCCCCCCCCAAAAAAAAAAAAATTGTTTGTTGTTTGAAATTTCAAGAGGTCATTTTTAAAAAGATGGTTATAACAATTGTGAATTTATATATTAAAGTACCCACACACATATGAGCTAAAAGAGCAGTATATATTAGCAAGGAAAAGAATATACCATATGCCATTACTGCATATCTCTCTTGCCTCCTGAGATTTTTCCTCCTCCTGTTGTCTTTCTTCTCGTGTTCCCTCCCTCAAGCTTCAACTTGAAATTTACTTCATAAAATTATTTATGAATCTTCACTTAACAATTTAATTTTTTAAGTTGAAGTGATCATGACAATCATAACAGGAGATTATTATGGATCGTCTTCTGATCTTGTTCTGGAAATATATTCCTAGATGATAATCTGGTCACGACTTTTGATGCACAATGCACTTAAACAAATCTGGCTTTATGCTTTTCTTACAGGCTCTGGGTGCATTTTGCTTGTTTGTGTTTCATTTCTTTCTACGGACTGCATCTACTGTATAAGGTATGTTTTGAAGTTTCGTTTCCAGATTTCATGTCTTTCCTCCACTTCTGAAAGCATTCTTAGCTATGTTTTCTAGCAAATTGCTCATAGACGTACATAGACATGTCATTTGTACAAATTGTAACATAAAGGTGCCCTTATTTATCCTTTCTTTTACAGGAATACGATGAAATTTTGACCAGAAGGATTCAACAGGTTCACAACATAAAGAATAGACCTGATCAGTTTACCATTCTAGTTCGTGAAATCCCCTTGTGTGTCGAACATAAGGCACGTGGATGTTTTGTTGATCACTTCTTCTCCAAACACCATCCTTATACATACCACTCAAATCAAATGTTATATGCTGCAGAAGATCTTCAGGTGTTGCTGGTAAGAGATGTCCTATGGCTAAGTTTTAGCTTTCCATTTTGTTTGTTAAGAATCTGTTGTTATCTTTCTATGCGCTAACTTTTGATTTGGTTAAAGGATTCAATTTGGCTACCTGTTAAGCCTTATATGCTAAATCTAGTTTTTATGGTTCACGACTCTTAAATACTTCTCAGGAAGTCTATTATCATTTTTTGGGTTTGTACAAAAGTAAGAAAGCTGTGGGAAAGAGATTTTTTTTTTTAAAAATAAGCTTAATGTTCATTTATTTAATGTTCTTTCCTCTCAATCCAAAATAAATAAACAACCATGTAGAGAGTGAGCAACTGCAACAATTACAAATAAATTTGCATTTCATTTTATACGGCTTAAATTTTAAGTTATTCTTAAGTCAGAATAGTGGAACAACGTTTTTCCATAAAATCTTTGGATTTTGAGTTTTGTAAATTATCAATTAGTTTAAGTATTCTGCATATGGACATGTAACACTAATGAAATTATAAGTCCTGCATAATTTTAAAATAATTTAAAGTCCTCTTAATTTATTCCTGCATATATTCTTTCTATATTCCTGCATAACTATAAGTCCTCTTGTGTCTTTAAAATAGCTGCTTTCCTAATGAAATTATAATTTGTCAGAAGTGAAGCCTATTCTTAGTCTACTCATCGTCTGTCTTGTTTGTTGTGGGTCCTCTCAGTTTTTTTTTATTAAATGTAGAACCAGGCAAAATCTCTTGCAAGAAGAGTAGAGGATTTGAGAGAAAATTCCAAGGGCAAGAGGAATAAGAACAAACTTTCACTTGTTGAAGCATTGCAACACGATTCTTCTAAGGAAGAATTACTTGAGGAAAAGCTTCAAGCAATTTGTCACAAGATTCACCAGTTACAGAGTGCAGATGTGCTCACGCAAAAGGTAGTGGGTCAGAGTGATGCTCACAATTATGTTTTGTTTTGAATGAGAAGTTTGTAATTCATTTTTTTTCAAAGGAAAAAATTTGTTAATAGACTTGGTGTTATAGGGTAAATTGTTTCATGTGCTAGGAGTTGCCAGTTGCTTTTGTCACATTCAAGACTCGCTCAGGTGCTGCAGTAGCAGCTCAGGTGCTGCAGCACTCGCATCCACTTCTTTGGATTACTGAAATGGCTCCAGAACCAAGGGATGTTTCATGGAGGAATATGAAAATATCATATAGAGTGGTGCCACTTTACAGACTTGGTGTTCTTATTGCAGCATCACTGCTTACAATTTTCTTTGCCATCCCTGTTACTGCTGTGCAAGGCTTAGCCAAATATGAGAAACTCAAAAAATGGTTTCCTCCGGTCATGGCTGTGCAGTTAATGTAATATTCCTTCCCTTGTGTATGATCTTTTGGCATTCTGTAACATCTGGTCTTCTTTTCTTCCATTGTCCAATAGCGCAAGAAGTTTGGGAACATGATTGAGAATGATGATTGCCTATATATAGTATATAATTTCTCAGGTTTTGGAGACCTTCAATTAGGTTTCTTTTGAATCATCAACCAAACATATAGAAAAGATAATTCCCAACTTATAAAAGCCATTACTATGATTCTCTCAAAGAAATCCCTTACTCTTCATTTTATTTTTTTCTCATCAACTTTTGTGTAGTTTTACTCTTTCTACAGGC